TATGACCAACGTAATGAATGCATTACTCCCGAAGTTATTCTACACAGGAACACAGTAATTGCTGGCGATGGTAATTGTCTACTCCACTCGCTCATAAGTGTTTTGTAACTTCAAATTGAGACTTGAGACTTGAGAAATCACTTACGCGATTCGCCCTATTTAAACTCCTGCCACAATCCGCAAGAAGCATATAACATTCTATCAAGCACTAATGATTACGGAGATTTGGATTGTTTGTACATATTTTCAATAATGTACAATCAAAATGTTTGTGTACATTATTGTATTTATAACATAACTACAAAGAATCAAGACACTATCTTTTGTCATTTTAAAGCGAATGATACAAAAAACTGGGTTCATCTTCGTGATCAACACTTCACACCTTTTTATGAAGTATCAGATTTATTGGAGACAATACAAGACGCTACCCAAAATAAAGCCCATGTTGACGCCAATATCCAATTATTGCGGGACAATTATGATGAAGATCCTACTGAAGATAACCATAATAATCATGAAAATGAAATTGACATTGATAGAAGAGAAGATCAAATAGGTGAAAATATCATGGATGTTATTGTTCACGGTACTATTCCAGTTTACACAAATTATCGTAAACACAGCAAGGGTCATATTGATTTTTATATAGACTTTACGAGTAATTCATTTGGTCATTCTTGTATTATTTGCGACAGACTATGGTGGAAAAGAGACATGAAAATATTTTGAAAACAATACTAAAGTTAATCCTAATTATATATTATAGTTCTTATACCCTGAACAGGGTATATTAAGTTTGCCACGAAGTTTGTAACAACCAGAAAAAAACGTCAGAGACCCTATAAAAATATATATAAATGATCAGCATGATGAGCTGAGTTGATTTAGCCATGTCCGTCCGTCCGTCCGTCCGTCTGTATATATGCAAACTAGTCCCTCAGTTTTTAAGCTATCGATCTGAAATTTTGTACCTGTCCTTTTCTCACTAAGAAGCTGCTCATAGCTGCCATACAAACTGAACAATCGGAAGCAATTCCTTGTATGGGAAACTTTTTTATTTGACGTAATATCTTCACGAAATTTGGCATGAGTTATTTTCTAAGGTAACAATGAAATCTCCGAAGAAATTGTATAGATCGGATGGCTATAGCATATAGCTATCATATAAACTGAACGATCGGAGTAAAGTGCCTACATGTAAAAAAATATTATTTTTTATTGGCGATTCACGAAATTAGATCTGAATCAAGTTATTGTAAGGAACCTTTGTATCTGTGAAGGGTATTATAGCTTCGGTGCAACCGAAGTTTACGTTTTTTCTTGTTTTGTAATTATTCACTTTATACTTTTCTTTCTATATCTTGAGCATACGAATTTGTTTTTTTTTTTAGAATTACACATCTGGTGAAATTGTTCAAATCTGCTCTACGTGTTATACATTTTTGGATAAAGAAAAAAATCCTCTCATGTCAACATACAATGGTTTTGTATATCCGAAAATCCCATCACATTTTCCAACCTTAAACCTTATCGAGCAACGATTGATTTCACCGAGAATACCGTTCATGTAGATTATTAGATTGAGACACGTTAATGGTCAGTACGGTATTTATGGCCAGATAATTAATGTTCCTGTCGAAGTTAATACAATGGTGAAACAATTGCCAAGAAACATTCAAGATGACCATTGCTTTTATGTGCGTTAGAAAAAGAAGTTGATTCACAAAACTAGTTATGTCCACGGGCTTATTAATAATAAGAGCAATATTAAAGAGTGGTTGTCGTATTTAGTATCTACGCCTCCTTATATTAATCATGACATTAAAACCGATGAATCTTTTTTTACCGGCAATGAACGTACTTCGCAATATGGATAAAATAAGTGAATATGTGCCAATTGAAGACAATTTAGTTGCGCAGCAACAAATACTTTTGTGGAATGATGATTAATTGTTGAGTCTAGCACCTGGTGAATAGAACAGGCCAGTCAGTATTTTAATGGATGAACATGCGGAAGAACTATCTTTTTCGACAATCTTCGGAGGTCAGTTTCGAACATACAGACATGACATGCAAGCTACCAGTGAACTTCGGCGTACTCATAGGCGTACTACGGACTCACAACACCTTTTATACATCGATGCTAAAATCATGACGTTGCGAGTTAGTAGATGTGTCAACGTTGCGTTTAAGCATGTTGAACAAGGTACTTCAATTACGAAAGAGACCATTCAATCTGAAGAATATATAAATAATTGTTTAGAAACAAATCTCGCATTTCTTCCCGGCATACCAAATTCTGCTTGGTTTTGGCCAGATCGCGAAAAAGATCTTTTTGCCATAGGGCCATTAACTGCTTTTATGACCCTTAGCGCAAATGAAACCGGCTGGGATAATTTGTTAAAATTATTGTATAAATTGAAAAACGAGAGAGCGGAAATTTCAGATGAGTTTTGTGCATAAAGCTCAACTTGTGAATGAAGATGCCGTAACTTGTGCTATTTATTTTAATAAAATGGTAAATTGTCTGATAAAAGTTTTGCAATCAAAGAAAATAAGTGCATTAGGAAGATATAGAGTAGTATATTATTTCAAAAGAATATAATTTCAACATCGTGATAGCCCACATGCTCAAATTCTTCTTTGTTGGAAAATGTTCCTGAAGATTTATTAAGCAATGATCCTGAAGTAATTAAATTAATCGACGAATTAGTTTCTGTGTCAGAAACGATTTAAATTTTTAAAAAATAATCTCGAAAATTTTGACTACACAAAATTTGATGAATTTTACTCGCATAATGAAATTATTTCTGATGATCATTACTACAATATTATTCGTGCTGGTATCAATAGACTAAAATTATTCTATAAAAGGACACCAGCAGAAAAGTGGCACAACACTTTCAATCCATTCGTATTACATCATTTAAAATCGAATCGGATTTTCAGATTTTACTAGATGAATATGCTTGTGCAACATATGTTGTTGAATATGTTAATAATCATTATAGAGGGATTAGTAATTTACAAAGACAAATAATAGACATAATGGACGAGCATCCAGAATTCGACATTGTCGATATCACGAAAAAAATGAGTATTGACATACTTCAGTCTGTTGAAATGCCGGCACAAGAAGCTGCTTGGTATTTATTAAGAGAACCTTTTGTAAGTCGCGCAAGAATTAAAAAATCTATGAAGCAACTTGAAGCTTTAGATGATGATTGTACGAACATTTGGAAAGAGAATTGGTTCGATAAGTATAAGAAAAGACCTGAAGAGCTCCGGGATGTTACGTTAGCACAATTTGTTGCAAAATATTACCTAATAAAAAGGGGACTTACACTAAAAGAGATCCTATAAGAATAATAAGATACAGGAACTACGATTTGGCTGACAATTTCAACAATTATAGGCGTGAGATGGTTCTGTTGCATGTTCCTTTTCAAAATGAAGAAAATAAGTTCATTCAAATATTCGAGGATAACAAAGATACGATATTAGAACGTAGGAAAGAATTTGAATCAAATTTGGACATAGAGAAAACTTTAGAAATTTGTAGTAAGTTGTGTCGAGAAAACGATGAAGAACAAGAAATGACTATAATTCATCAACTGCAGACTTCAATTCAAGAATCATTTAAAATTTTTTTTACGGAACCAGCTGGTACGGGAAAATCATTCGTTATCAAACTGATTATGGAAATTTACAACAGGTTCACTGATGATGATAGTTACTGCAATGCCTATATTACATGTGCTTCAACCGCCAAAGCTGCCGTGGCTATTGATGGTACAACTATTCACACAGCTCTTAAAATTTCTCTTTCAAAACTTTTGCCCCTGTTATCAGAAAAGTGGTAATTGTATAGATCTCTCTTCAGATATGTCAGAGTACTGATCATTGATTAAATTAGCATAGTGCAGAACTTCTACATAAAATTGATAATCGTCTAAAGCAAATAACAGGAAAAACACAGATTTCGGAGGTATAGATGTTATTTTGATCGGAGATTTACGGTAATTGCCACCAGTAAGGTCGACACTAATTTACAAGACAATCAGAACGAGCATGATTGGACCGCATTTATGGAGAAAATTAAAATTCTATCAACTTACCACAGTAATGAGACAAGCCAATGTTGCATTTTCACAAGTTTTTACATAATAGGTATTGAAGATATACTAGAGTTTCAACTTATTGAATCGAGATTTTTCAAAACAGAGGATGTTCCTGTATTATGTCCTTATGGCGTTCGTTTATTTTTCAAAAATTAAGATGTTGCCGCCTATAACAATTTGATTTTGAGCCTATATGAAAACAAAGGTCTTTCAACGTCCGTAGACGTTATTATTGGCGCTAAAAGTACTGAGCAAGAAGCTAATTTTAGGCTTAAATTACGTAAAAAATCTGTTATTGACACTGGAGGACTGCCTTATCACATTACTTTTGTTGTTGTAAGTCATTATGTTATTACGATGGTCCTATGAAGGGCTGGATCAAGGTGTCATGCGACCCATGCCGAGGATCAACCTGGCTGGGGGCCCTTAAATAGCCCAGTCTCAAACGGAGCTTACGGATACCTGGCGCACTCCGTAATATGATAGCCTTACTCGCGTAGCGGGGGCTAAGCGCAAGCGGACACACATTCCCCCACACTCGTGGGACCATTTATGAACCTAAACAACAAAACGAACAACAACAAACACACAAGGGAGTCCGGATCTCCACCAAAAAATCCGGAGGGAGCGAGTTGCTCCCATAAAAGAGCAGCGTTTGCAACGAGCTCGTCAACAATCGGCAAGAGGAAAGGAGCGAAGCTTGGTCCCGCAGATAAGGCAGGCACAAGGAAGGGGCAAGAAAGTAGCAGCGCCGGAGGCAGCCAGGCCCAAACCCTGTAGTCAAAACACGACTGAGAAGCGGGGGAGGGGGAAGATGCCAAAGGGGCTGCTGCTGGAAGTGCATCTGCCAGAGAGTGGCCCGCTTTCAATATTCAGGACCAGGCAAAGGCAAGGTATGCGGAGAGACGACGCGCCGCATACCTATTGAGGTTAGTGGAGTTGCAGCCGCCAACCAAGGAGGAGCTGACCAAGGAGCTCTTAGCATCCTCCAGTAAAGGCAGCAAAGCGACAGAGGTCAGCTGAAGAGTCTAAGCCGTCAGCCAAACGACCGAAAACAAAGGGCGTGACGCCCGCAAAATCATTTGCAGAAGTGGCCCGGGACCGAATTGTCATTGGCGTTCTGGATGAGGGGGACCCCGAAGGAAGAATCCCCAGAGCCCAATGGAAATGGGTGCAGGCTGCGCTGAAAAATGTGGCGCTGGAAGTGCTACTTAGCAATCCAGGTCCGCCACCGTCATGCACAGATGCCGGCTGGTACCAGGGCCAGATTAAAATGATTGCATGCGATGACGAGAGATCGATCGCACTATACAAAGCTGCTATAGCCAAGGTAGGGGAGGTGTACCCGGGCGCAAAACTAATAGCAGTGGACAAAAAAGATATACCATCCAGACCAAGGGCAAGGGTATGGATCCCAGCTACACCATCACAGCCGGATCAGATAATGCAGCTCATTAGAGCCTGCAACCCGAGTCTGCCCACGGAGGGGTGGAAGTTCGTCAAAGCGTTTGACGATAGCGTAGCAGAATCTGGCGTGGAGACCAAAAGGGCCACGATGCAGATTCTGCTATTACTAACAAAAGAATCCATCGAACCGCTGGCGAAAAGTGGCGGGGAGATAAACTACGGATTCACGAAAGTGAGGATTACACCGTACAAATCGGGCGCCGATGCTGCAGACCATCTAGCATCGGAAAGCGAGACATGCGAAGTAGAGGAAGATCCGATGGAGTCCTCAAGCGGCGTAGAGAGCATAGAGCAAGGTGAGTGTTCTTCCGAGTCTGAACTTGCTGCCAGACTCGTAAACTTGTATACTGAGAGAGAG